GGGGGATGTGGGGACATCGGGTCCCTGCATGGTGGGAGGGTTGCGCTCTCCTGCGTGTAGTGGGTGGCAGCCCCGAGGGCATGGCGATGGCTGGGCCAGGTGAGGGATGCAGGCGGGCACCACTGCTCCGAGTGCCGGCCAAGATCTGGCGGACACCAGTGGGAAAGCACAGGGTGACAGCCCAGCCACTCTGGGCAATGCCACCATTTCCTAAGGGGAGAAAGGCCAAATCCTGCACCCTGGCCCCCCAAGGGGGCTGCCCTGGCTGCCTAAGGCAGGGTGCAGATGGTGATGGTACTAGGCTGGGATGGACACCCTGGCCCTGCAAGGGGCACCGGCAGGACCATGGGGGCGGCCGCGGGGGACAGGGACATCGCTGTGCAGGCTGACACCACCGTCCCCACCACAGCGAGACGAGCTGGGGGGCTTGGAGCTGGCAGAAACCCCCCTGCCTTCCGAGCCCCCTGCTCCAAGGCACAAAGGTTCCCTGGTTGGTGCCAGCCCCGCGGCCGCCCCTACCGGTGGCAAAGCTGGCACTAATCCCCCATGCACCGAAAAGGATGGCGAGGACACAAGGGTGGCACCAGCCCAGAGCGAGCGGGCATGGGGAGCTGCTTGCCCTGGCTTTGGGGTGCTCTGGTTTTGGGGCACCCCAGCTGCCCCCCCAAACCCTCTGTGCTGCTGCCCTAGAGCCACCACCCGTCCCCAGGAGCTGGTGGCTTGTGCGGTGGCACCATGGTTGCCCAAACCCGCACCCAGCACCTTGCAGAGGGTTTATTGCTGGCATGAACACAGTGATCTGTTGGGGCAGAGCAGCCCAGCTCTGGGGTAGGGGGGACATTCTGGGGACCCAGGATGGGGGTTAGGAGCTCACGGCAGCATCCCCCCCTGCCCACCCCACTCCCTCCCCTCCGGCTGCTCCTGGTGCTGCTGCCAGCACCCCGGTCTCACCGACTGGGCTGTCCCACAGGAACGCTCTCCCCAACCCTGCAGTGGCCAAAGGCACTCAGTGCCCCCGCCGGAGGGGGGAGCACACCTAGCACCAAGCCCAGCAGCACCTCAAAAGCTGGCTCCCGGCCTGGCAGCACCCCCAGGGCCCTCAGCACTGTGGCAGGCTCCTTTGAAGGGGGGGGATGTTTGCACCGAGCCAGGGACTGGGTTAAGGCTGGAGAAGCAGCAAGAGGCGAAAGAAACCCGACTGCTCTTACTCAGCCAGGGCCGGCTCAAAGAGTTCTGAACATCTGTGCAAAACAAAACTAAAGAGCAAAAGCCGCGGTGGGGATGTGGAGGACATGTGCTTCGGGGTGGCTTTTGCACCGGTTTATTGTGGATCTTCCCAAAAGGCTGCGCCAAGCTGGGCCCCAGCCCACCTTGGGGGGGGGTCCCCTGCAGGCTGCTTCTGCTGCAGATGTTAATCCGCAGCTGGAGGGGGAAGAGAAGGTAAGGGGGTGCAGAGCAGGGCAGGCCACCCAGCATCCCTCCGCCCCATCCCCTTGGGACCCCAGGACTTCGCAGCGCAGCAGAGCCCCAGCAGCACCCGAGTACCAGGGGCGATGTGGGTCCCACAAGCTCTTGCACAGGCCAGGGTCCCCATGGCTCTGCCCATGCATGTCGACTACCCCAGGGCTCCGCTTGTGCCAGCTGGAGTGAAACCCATGCCCGCTCGCTGCAGGCAGGGCTTCCCTGTCCTACCCCACTCCTTCCCGGAGCAGCTTCCTGGCCAGAGCAGGACTGGGATCCACTCACCGTCCTCCTCCCAGCCCTCTGCCACTCCTGCCAGCTCGTAGTGCTTCTTGCGCAGCTCCCCCAGCTTCTGCCGCTCCTTCTGCAGCTGGTTTTCCAGCTCCAGCACCCGCACCTGAAGGACATAAAGCACGCCATGGCCACCCCCCACCATGGCACAGCACCTGGCTGCTCCAGCTGGCACGGAGCCCCGTGGGGCAGGGCACCCTCCCTTCACACCCATTATCTTCCCAAAACCAAGCCCGAAGACCACCGAGGCACATGCCATGAGCGCTCCGAAGGCAAATGGTCCTGGGCAGGGGACAGAGCTCACGCGGGCGCTGCTCATGCAGGCAGGTGGAGGCAGAGCGACCCCTGCAGGCACTGGGAAGGGCAATTCCCCGGGATGTCCCGTGGAGGTGGGTGCTGCGGGGCCACCCGGCGGGCACACAGGAGCAGGGAAAGGCCTTGGGCTGTTATGCCATGAGGGAAACAGCATTGGGGAAGGCTCCAGGACCAAATGCAGGCAGCTCCTGGGCAAACCCGGCCCTTGCCCTCATGCCCTGGGCTTTCCCTGTGAGCTGGAGGTGCCCGGGGCCAGGCAGCCGGGCAGGCTGCCCACACCCACTGCATTTGGTGCTCTTCCCCCCTCCAGCCTGGGCAGATGTGTTTCCCAAAGCGTGGGGAAACCTCCTACCTGCGAGTCCATCTCCTGACGCTTGATCTGGGTGAGCGTCATGCTGGAGAAGTCCATGCTGTCTGTGGAGAAAAGACACCACCAGCCCCCCTCGAGCTCTGCTCCGCTGCCCAGAGCCCCTGGCAGCTCCCGTGCTGCTGGCCAGGTCTGCCACCACCACGGGAGACGCAGGCAGGGACCAGTGGGGCACGGCTGGCTGAAGATGGCGAGTGTGAAAAGCAGAGATTTCAGGGCAGGTCTATGCTCCTGCAGCCCCACACTTACCTTTCTCCTCCACCTGCGACTTCCCGGCCTTGGTGGAGGCCACCACGCCAGCCGTGGCCTGGTTGACGCCCCGGGGGGCTTTT